GGAATAGTCGTGCAAGAGATTCCCACTACATCAAGAAAGATTGGCCACTCCGACAGTCATTGGAGCCTGGGAGGAAAAGTGTTCAGCATCCACCACTTGTTGAATCAAGGAAGATTTTGTTACCATCCTTGCACATCAAGCTGGGTCTGATGAAGAACTTTGTCAAGGCTATTGACAAAACACAAGCAGCTTTCAAGTATCTCCGTGGAAAATTTCCAAGGTTAAGTGAAGCTAAGATAAAGGAAGGTGTCTTTGTTGGTCCTCAGACTCGTGAACTTCTTCGAGATGATGCATCTGACCATGCACTGCGAGGCAAGGAAAAGACGGCATGGAAAGCCTTCCAGTTAGTGGCAATAAATTTTCTCGGAAACAACAAGGCAGACAACTACAGGTTGTTGGTGGAAAACATCCTCAAGGCATACAAAAGCCTTGGTTGCAACATGTCACTAAAGATACTTTTTTTGCACTCATATCTAGATTTTTTTCCACCGAATTGCGGGCAGTGAGCGACGAGCATGACGAGTGATTTCACCAGGACATTGCAACAATGGAGAAACGCTATCAGGGCAAATGGAGCCCAATCAATGCTTGCAGATTATTGCTGGACAGTGACAAGAGATGCTTCATTTAATGAATACAAGAGACAAGCCAAGAAGCGCCGAGTAGACACTGAATAGGACTAAACTGTGTACATAATTGGTTTTTGCCTTTTGTTTCATAATAAATTTTATTTATATAACCCTTTTGCTGATTTTTAAAGTGTTACATAAACAGGACAGGTGAATTATCATCATGTAAAGCAACCATAAACACATGAAAAGACCTAGGTTTACAATTTACTCTATCTACACAATATACATAGACATAAAATGTAAAAACTTAAATATTTTAGAAACAGTAGCCAGTTGTTTTAATTGTCATATTTGAATTCAGCACATCAAAATACATAATAAATAGCACATTTTATCTCTGAAGCAGACGACTTCTCAAAAATTGTAGACCAGTGATATTTGTGAAATACTTAGACACTATGCTGAGAACCCCATACAAAAGCCCACGAGGAAATTAAAATTCTGTATTCAGAGCAGACTTTGAATAGTGTGAAGTAAAGAAGATACGGGCAGGCCACAATTTTAATGAGGATGAGAAAGAATACTATTCTTTCAATGAGCAACATCCCTCCTGTGCACTGAATGATGCAGGAGTCCTGTGAAAAACTAGGATGTGATCAGATAATTAAAGACTATCATAATGCAGGGGGAAGGAGAAGGAATTAAGGTTGCGCAGACACTCTAAGGGCTGGTCCACACTACCCCCCCAGTTCGAACTAAGATACGCAACTTCAGCTACGTGAATAATGTAGCTGAAGTCGAAGTATCTTAGTTCGAACTACGAGGTACTTACCATGGGTCCACACGTGGCAGGCAGGCTCCCCCGTTGACTCCGCGTATTCCTCTCGCGGAGCAGGAGTACCAGTGTCGACGGCGAGCACTTCCGGGATCGATTTATTGCGTCTAGACAAGACGTGATGAATCGATCCCAGAAGATCGTTTGCTTACTGCCGAACCCGGAGGTAAGTATAGACGTACCCTTAGTTCTTGTATTTCTTAACTATTGAGCTTGAGACCATAATGTTCTTACAACAGATTTAGAATCATACACACAAAATTAATAAAAATTCAGGTAGGACATCAGCATTTACACCCCTGCTCTTGTGAAGGTGTAAATGCTGCTTCTTTTTAGCACTCATAGAAAATTGGAAATTAATTACTTTTCATCGTTGTGTTACACATTTCCTGACACAAGCTAGAAGTAACAGAAACAGCTTACATTTTATGTTCAGCACACTTATTTTTTTTGGAGGGGGTGGGGGTAAATTTCCAGAGTCACTGGAAAGTGGAATATCTATTCAGAACACTTCAGTTAAGAAGTCTAAGATTTGTCCCAACAGTTAGTCATAATGTAGCCTTCCTGCAAGATAAGTAGTCTCAATCCCTATACCTTATGTCTGTATCTTTTGTTTGATTCTATCAATTCTTTCCTCTGCCTTAAAATACAGTTTATTATACATTCCCGAAAATAGAAAGGACAAGATAAGACTTATTTACGATATACGTGTGGAATTTCTCTCTTCCTGTGTTCAGTTCCCATAGTAAGTGGTCAGTGGCATCAAGTTACATATTTGGAGTTGCCTGTATTTTACTCAGTTAAGACGTAATGTCTCATAATATATTACACAGAAATTTAGCATATAATTAGTGTTCCCCCAATACGTTACACTGGCTGAAAGGTAACTATCTAGAAGCTTCATTGAAACAGAAGCCCATATCAATGGTCAAAAATAACTTAAATATTGTAATGTACTTCAGCTTTAATAAACTGGATAATAAAAAGCTTTAGTTCTGAAGAGTTACAAAGTAAGACATGCAAGACAAAAGATTTTGTGAGAGTTTCTCTGGAAAAGTTTCCTTCTGTAGGTTGTCTCTTTATGCAAGAAATACTTCCTAGGATACCTTGTTTTTCCACATACCTTATCCTCTGTGTTGTTGCCAGGCAGAATATCCACCTGAATAGATACTGTGTCCACAACGCTCTTCCTTCTGGAGAGTCTATCTTCATCTAGACAAAAATAACATTTTTCATTTTTTCTATCAGTGATAAAAAAAAAAGGCAAATTCATGTTTCCTCACACAGCTGTGGATTTGTTTCCCCTGCCTCTATAGCCAAGTTCATCTATTTTAGCAATAAGATATTTGTAAAAAATATGACAAAGTTGCCTTCTGTATTAGTGATTTTAAAATTCTTCCAAGTGTCACACAAGTTAAGAACTATAACAGCCATGTAATACCATCACATACATTTTACACTTCTAGACCACAAAAGTTGAATTCTGAAGAGTTGTTTGTAATTTAAAATTCACATTTTTAGGCCTTAGTTTAGAGATGTTTTGAAACACAAAAGAGCTCTTCCACAGATGGTTCAGATGGCTCTTTGCAGAAATGAACAGTGTGGGAGAAGAAATATTTCTTCCCCTGCTGCCACTGATCTGATGAACATAAGAGTGTAAGAATGGCCATACGGGGTCAGACCAAAGGTCCATCTAGCCAGTATCTGGTTTTGTGACAGTGGCCAATGCCAGATGCCTCAGAGGGAATGAACAGAACAGGGCAATAATAGAGTGATCCATCCCGTTGTCCTGTCCCAGCTTCTGGGAATTAGAGGCTTAGATACCCCTAGAGCACTGGGTTGACTATCTTGGCTAGCAGCCATTGATGGACCTACTCTGCATGAGTTTATCTAATTTTTGGAACCCAGTTATACTTTTGGCCTTGACAACATCACTGGACAAAGAGTTCCACATTTTGACTGTGTGCTGTGTGAAGAAGTACTTCTTTATGTTTCTTTTAAAACTGCAGCCTATTAATTTCATTGGGAGACCCCTGGTGCTTGTGTTACACGAAGGGGTAAATAGCACTTCCATATTCACTTTCTCCACACCATTCATGATTTTAATAGACCTCTATCATATCCCTCCTTAGTTATCTCTTTTCTAAGATGAACAGTCCTAGTATTTTAAATATTTTATCAGATGGAAGTTGTTCCATACCCCTAAGCATTGGTGATCTTCCTGAAAACACCATCCTGGCCACCACGGATGTAGAAGCTCTTTACACCAATATTCCACATGAGGATGGACTACAAGCTGTCAAGAACAGTATCCCTGATGAGGCCACGGCACAACTGGTGGCTGAGCTTTGTGACTTTGTCCTCATCCACAACCATTTCAGATTTGGGGACAACTTATACCTTAAAGTCAGAGGCACTGCTATGGGTACCCGCATGGCCCCACAGTATGGCAACATTTTTATGGCTGACTTCTTAGAATCATAGAATATCAGGGTTGGAAGGGACCTCAGGAGGTCATCTAGTCCAACCCCCTGCTCAAAGCAGGACCAATCCCCAGACAGATTTTTGCCCCAGATTCCCTAAATGGCCCCCTCAAGGATTGAACTCACAACCCTGGGTTTAGCAGACCAATGCTCAAGCCACTAAGCTATTCCTCCCCCCCCCAACTTAGAACAATGCTTTTTCAGATCTAATCCCCTAGCGCCCCTCCTCTACTTGTACTACATTGATGACATCTTCATCATATAGACCCACAGGAAGGAGACCCTTGAAGAATTCCACCTGGATTTCAACAACTTCCACCCCACCATCAACCTCAGTCTGGACCAGTCCATACAAGAGATCCACTTCCTGGACACTACAGTGCAAATAAGTGATGGTCACAAATACCACCCTATACCAGAAACCTACTGACCACTATACTTACCTACATGCCTCCAGCTTCCATCCAGGACACATCACACGATCCATCGTCTACAGCCAAGCCCTAAGATACAACTGAATTTGCTCCAATCCCTCAGATAGAGACAAACGCCTATAAGATCTTTATCAAGCATTCTTAAAACCACAATACCCACCTGGGGAAGTGAGGAAACAGATTGACAGAGTGAGACGGGTACCCAGAAGTCACCTACTACCGGACAGCCCAACAAGGAAAACAACAGAATACCACTGGCCATCACATACAGCCCACAGCTAAAAACCTCTCCAGCACATCATCAACAATCTACAACTTTTCCTGGAAAACGATCCCACACTCTCACAGACCTTGGGAGGAAGACAGTCCTCGCTTACAGACACCCCCCCAACCTGAAGCAAATACTCACCAGCAACTACACACCACACGACAGAAACACTAAGCCAGGAACCAATCCCAGTAACAAACCTCGTTGCCTACTCTGTCCCCATATCTACTCTAGTGATACCATCAGAGGACCCAACCACATCAGCCACACAATCAGGGACTGATTAACCTGCACGTCTACTAATGTGATGTATGCCATCATGTGCCAGCAATGCCCCTCTGCCATGTACATTGGCCAAACCGGACAGTCTCTATGTAAAAGAATAAATGGACACAAATCAGGACATCAGGAATGGTAACATACAAAAGCCAGTAGAACACTACTTCAATCTTCCTGGACATTCTATAACAGATTTAAAAGTAGCCATACTTGAACAAAAAAAACTTCAGAAACAGACTTCAAAGAGAAACTGCTGAACTAAAATTCATTTGCAAATTTAATGCCATTAATTTGGGCTTGAATAGGGACTGGGAGTGGCTGGCTCACTACAAAAGCAACTTTCCCTCTTCTGGAATTGACGCCTCCTCATCAATTATTGGGAGTGAACTACATCCATCCTGATTGAATTGGCCCTGTCAACACTGGTTCTCCACTTGTGAGGTAACTCCCTTCCCTTCATGTGTCAGTATAATAATGCCTGCATCTGTAATTTTCACTCCATGCATCTGAAGAAGTGGGTTTTTTACCCATGAAAACTTATGCCCAAATAAATCTATTAGTCTTTAAGGTGCCAGCAGACTCCTTGTTTTTTCTACGCATTTTTGTTGTCCTTCTCTCTACCTTTGCCAAATCTAATATATCTTTTTTGAGATTGGGTGACCAGAACTGCACACTGTATTCAAGATTTGGGTGTACCATGTATTTATATAGTGGCATGATGATATTTACGGTCTTATTTTCTAACCCTTTCCTAATGGTTCCTAAAATTCTGTTAGCTTTTTCAACTGCTGCTGCATACTGAGCAGATGTTTTCAGAGAACTATCCACAATGACTCCAAGATCCCTTCCTTGAGTGGTAACGGCTAATTGAGACCCCATCATTTTGTATATATATTTGGGATTATGTTTTCCAATGTGCATTACTTTGCACTTATCAACATTGCATTTCATCTGCCATTTTGTTGCCTAATCACCCAGTTTTGGTAGATCCCTTTGTAACTCTTTACAGTCAGCTTTGGACTTAACTATCTTAAATAATTTTGTATCATCTGCAAACTTTGCCACCTCACTGTTTATTCCTTTTCCCAGATCATTTGTGAATATGTCGAATAGCACTGGTCCCAGTACATATCCTTGGAGGACCCTGCTATTTACTTAACTCCAGTGTGAAAACTGACCATTTATTCCTACCTTTATTTTCTATATTTTAATCAGTTACTGATCCATAAGAGGACCTTCCTTCTTATCCCATGACTGCTTACTTTGCTTAAGTGCCCTTGATGTGGGACCTTCTGAAAGTCCAATTACACTATATCCACAGGATCACCTTTGTCCACATATTTGTGGACTCCCTCTATGAATTCTAATAGGTTAGTGAGGCATGATTTACCTTTTAGAAAAGCCATGATGCCTCTTCCCGCAACATATTGTGTTCATCATCGTGTCTGATAATTCGGTTGTTTACTAAAGTTTCAACTAATTTGCCTGGTGCTGAAGTTAGGTTTACCGACCTCAATAGTCAGGATTGCCTCTGGAGTCGTTTTTTTTTTTTGGGTAGGGGTGGGGGTGGAGGTGGAGGGGGGGGAGAACAATTGGGACTTACATTAGCTATCCTCCAGTCATCTGGACATAATCTGCTGGACATAACTTAGTTTACAACATAGGTTCCCAGTCTGGTTACACAACCATTTCCCTCCTCCTTTCTTGCTATTGCATCAAGAGGCACTTTTGAAAGTTTAACTGCCTGCAAAATTTGTTGGAATGCAAGGCTGATTACACTTTTTGTTACGAGTATGGTAGTTTCATTAATGCTAGAGGGAGCAGTAGAATTGCATTTAATAGGGAACATTCAGGACTCAGTGCCAAATCTGACTCAGTGTTTTGCTATACATTCGATTCGATTTTCCATTCTCCTCCACTCCTTCCCATGAGTCTTGTAATGTGACAGCATAGCTGGGACATAGTGCATGGGTAATTACTTACCTATGCATGTCTTGTTCCAAATTTTTATAAGAAAAAGTGCTTGTGGAAGCTCATGAATGGAAAACTAAGGCCCTCTAGATTTATGCATGGAAGAATTATATCATTGGCTGCCACAATCTTCTTTGTGTTGCTCTGGCTGAAGTTCCTCAACCCTGTTCTAAAAGATCCAAGTCTACAGATTACGTTAGCTCAGACCTCATGGCTCATTCAATTCTTGACTTCTTCTAAGATTGCTGACAAGGGTGCCAATTATGATGCGGAAACCTGAGGCCTATCACCACCCACCTATATAACACAGGCCGTGCAATAGTCACATGGCAAAGATGTATTAATGTATGGCAAGGGAGGTCCTCCACATCCTTAGTGGAGCTCTGAATCCCACACATCACATGTAGAAGACCTCACTTTCTGAATTCCCCAGCATTATTACTCCTTAATTGACCACATGTTTGAGCAACATGAGATGCTTCCCCTACCCATGTTGGCTCAAGGTTCTGAATACTAGGCCTGAGACTTACTACATTTCCTGAGTGTCGAATTTGTTACTGTTCCCACCTATTAAATTTAGTTTTGTACTTTTCTATATTCATCTCATTTTCCTTTGCAAACACAATGTTGTAGTACAAAGAACACACTCAAGCACTCCTTTCAATAGCTTTCCATTGGCTTCCTGTCTCTTCAGAAAAACAAGAAATATGGTTCAATATAGTCTTAAAAATAAAATAGGATTAGTTTTATAGCATAAAAAGGACAGAGTGAAGAACA